GCTGCGTGTGCGTGTGCGTGCGTGTGCGTGCGTGTGCGTGCGTGTGCGTGTGTGTACATGTGCACAGTGGTAGGAAGAGTACTACAGTAAAAGTACTTTAAATACTCTGTGTTTACATCTTGGTGCTCAAACAGTCAAAGTTGATGGACAATGTTTTCCTCATGTTTAATATTTAATGTGAAGATGTCGGACATATTATCTGCACAGAGAATAGTTTTTGTTGATGCTGTTTACATTCTTTAAACGCTCTACAGGAATGTACTGTTTGTTTTGTTGTGTTTAAAATGGGCTGCAACTGCATCTCGTTGTGCATCCCTGTGGTGCATAATGACAATAAATGATCCTTGAATTTTACTAAAGTAAAAGTAGGACAGTTCAAATGTCATCCCGGGTAAACGTTACAGCGTTACCTTCAGTTAGAAGATGGAGAGGATGAAGATATGAAGATGATACGACTGTTAACATAACAGCTGCTAAATAGATTGCAAGTTACCTGGAACATCATCAGCAACAAGACCCCGTCTGTCCCAAAACCAACAGACAGACGGGCACTCTGCAGTCTGTGCATTCAACTGATTATTAATGTATACAATATATATATACACAGTATATACACACAATATTAAATATACAACAAACTGCCTTCTGCAGTGAAGCCTCACCAGAATTAGGGCCAACCAGAAGAGAGACAAAAAAATAGAACAAAACGAGTTATTGATGCCATTATTAGTCAGAACCATGAGGACAATAAAACATCAACAAAGCAGACAACATGGACGCGTAAACAATGACGTGCGCACACACACACACATGTGCGCGCGCAAAACTAAGTGGCGAGGCCAGTTAAGTGTGTTGTTGTTGTTGTTGTTACTCACCTTGTGTGAACTGGCACCCTCGGAGTGAAGTCACCATAATCTGATCCCGGTTCAGCTTCTGTCCCGGTTCACTGGTTCACGTAAAACAGGAACAACTGACTCTTTTTTTTTTTTGCCCAGTAACTTAATTTGTTTATGGTGTTTTTTTTTATTATATATTATTATTATCATTTTTATTTTTATTATATAATGTTAGTACCAGGCGGCAACCTTCGGTTCTGCCGAGTGAAGCCGATGCTTCATGTCATAAAGCTGCATTCTCTCTACTGTCCACCAGGGGGCGACTCCTCTGGTAGTATAGAAGTCTATGAGAAAATGACTCTACTTCTCTCTTGATTTATTACCTCAGTAAACATTGTAAACATGAGTTTATGGTCTCAATCTATAGTTTCAAGTCTTCTTCAATACAGCATGATGTTCATTTAGTACATTATGGTCCATTTAGAGTCAAACAGACCATAAAGCAGGGGATGCTTTAGGGCGGGGCTACACAGTGATTGACAGGTCGCTGTCGCTGCCAGAGCTGTATATCCGGCGTCCCTACGTCACTCCTCTGCATTCCAAATTCCGTTCATTTATTTTCTACTTTTTACTCCCTGATTTGAACGTCTTCCAGGCTCTGTAGAGTCGATTGGCAGCAAAAACAAATTCATTGTGTACTTTCCTTGATGCCTTTCCTAACAGGTCTTTTTTCATCGATGAGTCCTGATATTGACTCCCGTCCAGCACCAGCTGTGTATTGAGAAAGTAGAGAAGAAGTGGACGTGTGTTCTTGTACTCCAGAGCCCCCAACTGCAATCAGTCATCTACTGGGACTGCAGCTGCTGATTCATTTCCTGTTTTGTACTTTCCATTTTCACAGTTCATCAGAACTTTTTCATGTGTTGTGACTTGTTTTTACTCTAGAACAGATGCAACTTGAAACGCAGCCAACAGGTTACTTATCTGATAAATAGTAGGTCTACTTTACTGTGAGGAACCTTTAACTGGTTCTGAACCAGTCTCAGTCTAGTCCTGATCCTCTATCAGACCTCCATCAGTAGAGAGACCATCAGAGAGAAGACGGTCTGTTTCTATAGAGTTATTCTTGATGCTCATCATCGGAGCCACCGTGTCGGATTCTGGTGAAACCAGATGAACTCATGCAGGTTCACCAGAAACTCCCTCAGCTCAGACTCCAGCAGAGACCGGTCCACCGTGGATAGACCTAGATCCTCCAGCAGAGACCGGTCCACCGTGGACAGACCTAGATCCTCCAGCAGAGACCGGTCCACCGTGGACAGACCTAGATCCTCCAGCAGAGACCGGTCCACCGTGGACAGACCCAGATCCTCCAGCAGAGACCGGTCCACCATGGACAGACCCAGATCCTCCAGCAGAGACCGGTCCACCATGTACAGTCCCAGATCCGGCTCCGACTGCAGCCCTGGACCTGCAGTCGGAGCTCCGGGAGGGAGGAGGAGAGCTGGACCCGCTGGAGGGAAGGGAGGCACAGGAGAACCAGAACCAGGACTGAGAGGGGCAGACTGTCAGACCCTGCTGCAGTAAAATGAGAGGTTTTCTAAAGGGACTCCGGTGCTCAGAGACACTACCACTTTACCAAACATCAACACAAAATAAACCTCACAGTAACTTTAAGTAGGCTACTGGATGTCACAAAAGAAACCTGTAACACTAACTTGCACTCCTGCCCTGTTGTAGCTTTACTGTTTGTGTTTTCTCCAGCTCTTGTTGTGACTCGTGTCGGGATGCAGCCGAGGGACGAGGAAGCTTGTCACCACATCCGCTCTCCGGTTTTTCATCCACCTCGACATTGATCTCTGTCTCAGTGTCCATCCTTTGCTGTCCTGCCCACTCTGACCCCTGTTCACATCCCTCCTCGTCCAGGCCATCTCACTGCACTACAACCATCCTTCTTCAGCCCTTCTGTCCCAATGCAGCATCAGCATCGTATCCCTTCAGCGTCCTTATTTTCTTGCCAGTAAGCCTCTCTGGTTTTCATCACGCTTCCTGATTGCTTCATCCTGTCCTGGTTACTGAAGAGATGTTGTCTTTATTAAAACTATGTGCTGATGCCGTGCAGAAGGCCTGCTGACTGCAACTCATGCAAGGTCGACTCGTTTCTATTTTACAGCTCATTTCACTCAGCGTCATTCCTTATCATTGAGTCTCACCCTTTACCTCCGACGCCACACACACACACACACACACACACACACACACACACACACACACAC